AAACAGTCTGTTGGAAGGCATTACTGCACAACATACTACAAAAGCAAATTGTACACTGCAAACTGAATTGGATGCATGATACAGGAATGCAAATGAAAAGGCAAAGATAAACCACTAGATATATTAAAAAATCATTAATTGCCACCCTACCTCCCTTGCATCCTAGTTTTAGCTCAGTTTCCTAGCAAGCAAGCTGATGCAGTTTCATAGCTACCTAGCCAAGGATCCAGGAACGTGGAAGAGGCAGGACACTCACAGGCTTGTGAGCTTCTCACCCCTCCTGAGAATTAGGAGGAGGGGAGGGCATGGTGAAGATAGGCTTTTGGAGACCTCAAGACATCCTCAGAGCATGAGGACCTTAAACAGAAAGGCTACTTCTGACCTGGAAAGAAAAGCTGCTCAAAAAGTAAAGCTGTTACCATACCTGCCTTCCTCCTGGACTTTTCTACCTTTCCCTTGAACAGGGGTGGCACCAAGGTGGCACATCACTCTTAAGAGGTGGAAAGAGAGGCGGGACTTAATTTCCCTCTCATTCATTTTTTACTTTGGTACCCAGGGGACTGCAAAATCCCATACCCATAAAACCTTCCCAGTATCACAAAACATCATGTTGGTCCAAGCTCTTCTTATCAGTCATGAGACCGGCCTTCTTGTTGCAAGTGTTTGTCAGTTGTATGTTTGTCTGTCTTCAGGCCTGGTCAGCAATCAGCAGTACATTCTGGGGCTTTCCAGTGATGAGTTCCAGGAAAAGTACTCTTGAATAACATGTTGGGAGGGGGTCTTTCCCCCTTATGTGTGAAACCCAGTCCTGTGCAATCTGGTTCTCATGGCATTTCAGCAGCTTCTTATCTCTACCTTAGTTGACAAAGTTAATATGCCAGTCGACACACCAGTTTCTGGGTTCCTTGAGTGGAATCTGCAGATTTTCTCAAAGCCTTTGGAGCACTCCCACAAAATAAGATAAAGAGTACGGCAATCCATAGGTCTCTTCACCCAATAATATAATGTGGGGTCAAACATCATTGAGGTCCTTTTGTGGGAGGTCCTGTTGAGTTCCTGTTGTAAAAAAAAAATTAGACAAGCTTTAGACAAGTTTTGGGCAAGTTTCCCCCCTTTTAGCAAACGTTTTCTCTCATTATTAAGACGTGCTTTTCCTGTTTTTATAGCTACTTGCAGTTAGATATTCCTCATGGAATGCACAACAATCATTCTGTGCTATATTGTTGCAATATCACAAAAGTCACAGTGTCTAATGGCAAACTACACAGAGTCAGGGTTTTAAATCCATAGTATTCAAAGATGGGGGGACTGTAACTAGGCCACTTCAGGGCCAAAAAAAGAGTATCAGATTAACACCTTGTCCACATAGTTGTGAGCAGGGTTCTACAGTAGCCTGTCATGGCTGAAATCAATGTCATTTCTCAAAATTACTATCCCCAATACAGCTTATGACTGCTGAAAGTAAAGCTGAAAGTTTTTGATAATTTAAATATCAGTTATATATAACAAAACCTGCTAATATTCAGCCGTCTCAATCAGCAATGGGAAAAATGTATGCAAGTAGTATAAGTAAATACAAACACTACACTGTATAGTGTCTGAACATTTGCACTTGTTTTCTCGATCCCTTCACAATTTTGTTCTTTACCTTGCTCTATTAAATTATATTGGTGAAGTATTTACTTGCGTTTTGGTCATCAGAGAAGATAGTAGCTTAGTTCAGACATCATATGAAACCATGCTTTATTTCACCTGTGGTTAGTTTTGTGAAAGGGGGGAAGGTGGCATGGTGTAGCCTGATTTTGTTGAATCTTGGGAGCTAATTTTGTTGAATTTTGGAAGCTAAGCAGGATGGGAGACCACCAGGGAAGATTGTGCAAAGGAAGGCAGTGAAACTAGAATACAGACACAGACAATAGCTCAAAACTTTGTTCAGTTAATCCATGGCTTCAGGTAATGTCTGAACTGAGCCACTGCTTGGCAGGCCTGTAGACAGGATTTTTTTAGTCAGGAAGACATTTAAATTTCTTAGGGGGCACCCTACTCCCATCCCGAGCTGCTCTGCAGTTTCCACCACCTGGGCTTCTGCCAAGCCGCCTCCCCCTCGCAGCGGCCCCTTGCACCACCATAGCTGGCCCCTCGCGCCAGACAGCACAGCACAGCCTGCCAGCAACAAGTACTTTCTGGGGGAAATAGACTTTCTGGGGGAAATAGAGAGGTGCTGTCTGGCTCTGTGTGGCCACCCTAGCCGGTCCTTCATGCCAGACATCTGCGCAGGAATACCTGGCTCCTTCCCCACACCCTCCACCGCTCGGGAGCCCTGGGCTGGATGGGAAGTTGTGGGGCCTTGCCAGTAAGTGGGGGGGGCTAGCCCCGAGATGCCCTACTGTAGCTATAGGCCTGCTACTTGGTTTGCTGGTCTTCCTCCGTCCCTCCCTCTCTCTTTTCTATACTGTCCTCCCTGCAAAGCAGGCTCAGAGCAGTGTACAACAGATTTAAAACAAGAGGATGTATTAAAGCAATCTACTAATATAAAGATCATATAATATAGTAAAAATGTACATGGTGCCACAGTACAGAAATTTCTGACCCCCATTAGCAGGGGGGAGGAAGAGTGAGAGGCAAACAAAGAGTGATCGGAGAAGAACGTGTGTTGTCTGAAACGGTTGCTAGTAGAGAAACATACACAGACTGTTCCAGACTGTCAAAGTTGAACTAAAAAGGGCATCATCCTGTTACACTCTTGGCTTGGAGCAAGCTAATGCTCGTTTTGTGAGGAGTCAGGAGCAGTGTTGATAACTGAAGTCTGGATTCAAATGTTTTCAATGAGGCTTAAAATGTCTGTTTTTGCTTCTGTACGTGCTCCCTGTCTGTCCAGATCCACCACATGCTCCTCTGACTGTTGTTTATAACTTTACATATTGCATTTTCATTTATCTAGGCTTTTGTTTATGAGGTCATTTTAGCTAGTGCCCAGATAAAAGTGGGTGTGCTTAAAGGGTGTGAGATTCCTTTAAAAAACAATTTGAATGCTGTTAGTATAGTTTCTGTTGACATCATGGATTAAGGGCAATGGACAGCCTTTTGTAAATAATGAAAATTAAGTATATAATCTTGAGAATGTGTTTGTGGTTTCTGCAGACTAGGGAAGGGATATTTTTCTTTTCCCTTAGCAGATGTGTCCCAAATATCTCCTAATCCCAACATTGTTTTTTTTAACGATTTCCCCCATAAAATAAATGAGAAGAAAGGAGAATTAATCTCACATTATCTGAGAGTGCTTATTATTTTGTTTTTTGAGTGTACATGGTGGAGGAGGCAGTAGAAGCGGAAAAACAAGGGACTTTGCCTCTCTGTTAGCTCTTAAGCCTCTACTCATGTAGAACTCACCTCCTGGTTTTTTAACTAAATGAAAGGCCTGCAGCAGGCAGGGCCCTCTGAAAATTCAGAGAGAGCAGCTTTATCTGCCCCCTGACTTCAGCTTTCCATCTCCTCTCCCCTCCCTCCTGGAGAGCAATTGTAATTCTGAGTTATCTCCAGCCCTCACCTGGAGAATGGCAACAACAGTTCCCTTGGAGGAAATGGCTAGTTTGGAGGGTGAAGTCTATGGCATTGTACCTGTCTGAGGTCCCACCCCTCCTCAAACCCCACCCTCTTCAGGCTCCACACCTCCAGGAATTTCCCATCCTGGAGGTAGCAACTATATCTCCTTCCCAGCCAAGCATCAACCTGGTGTTATCTGCCCCTCACTCTTCAGCTTTCCATCTCCCCCCCCCCACCTGCAGCCTCTACCATGCTCTGAAGCCCTGACTGCGACATCACATTGGCTGTCATAGGTAGGCCATCTCAACAGGATATAAGGACTGAAAACTCATGAATTTTGTCAAAGAGAGTTTGTCCACAAGGAATACCCACAACAGGACATCGACTTTGTTCGCTCTGGCAAACCTCTTTACGCAACTAATTATCCTGGGACATTAACCCCTAAATGCAACTGATCCTCAGATTTGTTTATAGTTGCAAGTTGTAAATGTGATTCTGAAGAAATCTGGCCATCTATCTCAGCAACTCCTGACCTTTAGGAGATGTAGTTGGACTCAGGGTGGCTTATATAGGACTTCTTCTGTTGCTCACCTCTTAGGGGCACCTGACTTTTTAACAAGCCTGTAGACCTTGGTTTCTGATGTGGAAGCCTTTCAGTGCAGATGTGGCCTTTATTCCAAACAGGGGAAACAGGTAATAGACTTGTCTATTTGCCAGGAGACACTCTTCAACTTGGTGAAATTTGTAGTACTCACTGAAGAGGTTATTAAAAACTTTTGTTTAAGAATGTGCCATTTATTTAATGATTCCAGGGCCAGTGTTTCTGCACATAAACATGGAAGTAAGTGGTGGGATTGTCTGTGTCATTGTTTCAAAATACCTACATGTGTTCATGCTAGAATCCTGTTTGTCAAATGGGTTTCTACAAGCAATGCAAATGAGGATTTTTATCATTTGGTGTGGCTCAAGTGGTTAAGACGCTGAACTGCAATTCATTTTGACAAGCAGAAATGTAGTGGCTTGAATTATTGTTGATTACAGGATTAAGTGGCAGGATCGGCGCTGATTGGGTGCTTTGATTGTAATGTAGGTGGAAACCCTTAATGATTCTAATGATGTTCTAATAACACTTTTTGGCATCTTAAATGTATTTTTTGCTCTTAGCTTCGTCATGCCATTTAAGTTGTTTTGCCATCAACTGTGTTAGCTTCTTTCATGTGCTTGAAACATTTCACAAAACATTAGTCCTTATTCAGGAGAGCTTAAGAGGGGGACTTTCAGAAAGTATGCAAGATTGCCTTTTAGGGTTGAATTTAATATAACTAAACCGCCAGTTTCAAATGATAAAGTCTGTTTTAATGGAATTCACCCTTTCTCTGTGGTTTGCTTTGGAATTCTCAAAGGTACACAATTTACCCCATACCTTACAGTAAGTTTTCTATCTTTTTCTTTTATAGGAGAGACCTGCGAAGTGAATTCTCGCTCTGGACGCTGCACTCCAGGGGTGTGCAAGAATGGAGGCACATGTGTTAATCTTCTTATAGGAGGGTTCATGTGCGAGTGCCCCCCAGGAGAATATGAGAAGCCTTATTGTGAGATGACCACAAGAAGTTTTCCTCCCCAGTCCTTCATCACCTTCAAGGGGTTAAGGCAGCGCTTCCATTTCACTGTTTCTCTCAAGTACGCTTATTTCCTTTCTAAGGTTACATGGTTACCACTTGGTGTTAGTTACCAGTTACTCTTTGCATGATGAATAAAACCATATTGCAGTTTAAATCAGGAGCAGAGCTTGACTTTTCATGCTAAGGTGTTTGCATTGTGTTTCAAAAGTGTCATGGAGCATTCTGTTATTTTTATAGTGCATCTCCTCTTGCCTTTGGCTCAAGTGGTTAAGACGCTGAACTGCAGGCTGTGGAAGGTCGGTAGTTCAGCAGTTCGAGACCCGAGTGTGCCGCATGACGGAGTGAGCTCCCGTCTCTAGTTCCAGCTCCTGCCAACCTAGCAGTTCGAAAGCAAGAAATTGCAAGTAGATAAATAGGTACCACTTCGGTGGGAAGGTAACAGCGTTCCGTGCGCCTGGGTGTTTAGTCATGCTGGCCACATGACCACGGAAATGTCTTCGGACAGCGCTGGCTCTTCGGCTTTGAAACGGAGATGAGCACCGCAACCCTAGAATCGGATTCGACTGGCTTTCGAGCAACGGAACCTTTACCTTTACCTTTATGCAAGTGGGGAGCGTTTCTTTCGGGATAACTAAAATTGCATTAGGTATAGGATTTGCTACAACATGCATGTCATGGCAGCCTTCCTACAACCTCTGAATGTCTTGCATGTTCAGCCTCACATGTGAGAGAGCACAGAGCCAGAGGCTTGCCTAGTAAAGTCCATCTATACAGCTGCAACTGTATTTTTAAAATAACTCCTGTGCCCACCAACCATGTCCCTGCTAGCAAATGTTTCTAGTTCATCAGCCATATGCCAGAGCCGGAAAAGCAGATGCTATAAAACAGCTCAGGCAAAAGTAGAGAGAGCAGAGAGTCATCTGCTTATTCATTGCATACCATTTTTTTAAAAGTCTCCTGTGAAGCTTCTGTCATATTTTTAGATTCACTGTGAGCTACACTCCGCCTACTCTCAAGCTGATGATCACACCAGTGTGGCTTCTGTCTGTCTCTGTCTCTCTCTTGTGCCAACCAATCTGCATATCTTTTTTTTAAAAAAAGCCTTCAGATTTCTAGTTTCATAGAGCACCAGTTGGGAAAGTCTTTATCTACAGCAACTGGTCTGTAGAGTCAGGATGTTATGAAGTATGTGATAGCCATCCTACATCTACATTCTCAGACGTATATTCCGATGACATTAAGAGGCCTGGGCCCTGTCTGCATGAGCCCTTATAGAGCCACTATAATTTTTCTGCTTCTTTTTGGAAGGACCTGTCATGCATACATGTATAGATGGCACCTCCTTTTTTTCTTTTCATGCACACAAACTGAGAGGTGTGGCAGAACTATAAGTCAAAGTCACTCAGCAGGGTAGAGGATTCCTCCGTGCTTCTGACCTATGGGTTGTTCCTTGCTATGGTACACCTCCTGGTGCGTAGCTTGTGTTTCCTGTTCCCTGGCCTTGGGTTTCTACCTGTGGCCTTGGCATCAGTGAGCTTACTTGAGTTCCCTCATCTTCCTGTCACATGGTTTCCTGTCGTGCTTGCAGCTCAGTGGGTCCCAAAGCTGCTGCCTGGAGGCTAAAGACAGGTTGTGCTCTGGAAAGATTGAAGACCACTGCCATAGTGTGACAAAGGCTTGATTTGAGCACGCAACAAATGAGGTCATAAAGTGCTGGGGTGCTACAACAGAAACTCCTACTTATTCGTCCCTTATTGCAAGGCTGTCAGTCCAAGAGAACTCAGAAGCTTTGTCACTTACAGGGGTCTTTTTCCTAGTTATTAGACAGCATCCTGATGCTTAGGATACAATTAAGATGTTTATTTAAAACCACAGCAAAACTGTATATGAGGATATTCAGTTACACTATCAACACAGCTCATTTATCCTACCTATTCTAGCTTTCTCAATCCTTTTCACAGATCAATTTCCTTATAAATGGTTCTTACCAATCAGCTCAAAGACAGACATTTGCAGAAGTGGAATTTAGCCTCTCAGAGTTCCACCCTTGACCCTAATGGACTGTTTACCTTCGAAAGTGGACCCTTTATGTTCTTTTTGAAGATCCCTCTTTGAAGATTCTTCTTCTGTTTGGCCATTAGGCCAATCTAAGCTGACCTCATCTTTACTTATATCATTTGCTTACCACTTAAAACTTCCCAAAACATGTTTATTACTTAAATACTCTATTTTGCATACTGCACATAGTGTAAAGCATATCCAGACATACTGAATTCATATTAATTGTATAAAAGCCTTGATAATCCTGTAGGAGGAACTTCTTGACATTATAGCAGAGCACTTTAAAAATGGCGGGAGAAAGTTACGTCAAATCGCAGCCGACGTATGGTGACCCCCATGGGGCTTTCAAGGCAAGAGACTAACAAACATGGTTTGCCATTGCCTGCCTCTGTGGCAACCCTTGGTGGTCTCCCTTCCAAATACTAACCAGGGCTGACCCTTTTTAGCTTCTGAGATCTGAGATTATCAGGCTACCTGTGCCATCCAGGTCAGGGCACTGTACAGTTAGAACTAATTTAATGTAATGTTGTTTAAAAATACATTATTCCATACATATTCTACTTAAATAACTTATTTTATGGTTAGATTTGTTCCTCTGAATTGCTCCCCTTCCAGATTCACTGTAAATATTCCTTGCCCTAGAATGCCTGTAGGCTTATATTCCAGCACTTATTCAAACACCTCTGTGTGCTACAACTACAGGTGGAGGATCACATGTTGGCCTGGTATCCTGTGTTAAAATTTCCCAGCAAATAGCAAAACCCAGGCCCCGGTCACACGTAAGGGTTTGGGCCGGGAGAGGGACGGATCGGGGGTGCAGCAAACGGGTGCGATTACACCCCAGCATCTGGAAAGAGGCGCGCACCCGTCCCCGATCTGGCCCTTCAGGCCGAAAACCCGCTGCAAAAAAGAACCACCCCTAGAAGTGGACTTACCGGAAAGGCCGTGGCAAGCGCAGCCATGGGATTGCTGGTGCGTCTTTCTGCTGGCACATCCGAGGCTCCTGACCAAACTGCGCATGCTCACACATGCGCAGTTCAGCAGCCTCTCTCTCTGCTTCGTTGCTTTCTCCCCGGTCTCCCCTGCATCTGATTGTGCTGGGGAGAAAGTGCGCGGCGGCTCACGGGATCTGTGTGATCCCACTGCCGCGTGCCTATTTTGGTGCAGCTTTCAAAAGCCGCACTTTGCCCACGCATCCCCCCCCCCGTGTGGCAGGGACCCCAGTTTACTTTTGTGCTAGTTTCCTCTTTGTGTGGAGTGTTGATTTTTTTTTTTTTTTACACAAAGGATCATTCAGAGCTGAAATCCACCACCTGGAGTCTGAAATGGTGCTGTCTATTTCACCTCTTAGACTTTCTATCACCTCATTCTCCTGCACGTGTCAACTGAGGAAACCCAGAATACAGAACCCAGAAGGGGCCTGTGCTGGTAGAAGTAGATTTGATTCCCAATTGCTTGATGTAGCCAGGAACAGAGAGCAGTTTAGCTCTCATCTCAGTGGTGTGCCTGAGTGCGCTGCTTTATATTCTGTCAAATAAATAAATGATTGTCATTCATTCTTATGGACAGAAGTAAAGTGTTGTGTTTGGGACACTGCTGTAGTGAAACCAAAACCTGTCCTCCCCTACTGGGTGGTCCAGCACCCCTGGAAAAGCATCCCACAGAAGAATGTAATGTGTCTCAGTGCAAAGAACCACAGAGATGGGTATTATATAATAACACAAAGGAAAAAATGGTCCATTGGTTCAGCTGATAATTTATTAATTTTTATTTTAGCAAGATTTTTACTTAATTTTTTTGCCCTCATAGTGCCACTAATGCTGCTAAAAAATTAAAACATACAAATTACATTCTGCACACAAATAACATCATTAAAATAATTTAAATCCAGAATTTAAGAAGTGCAAACGCTAAAAACAACAGTTAAAACATTGGGGAGGAAGGAGGGATCACTGAGGGAATGCCAATTGAAACAAAAAAGTCTTCACTCAGTGGCAGAAGATAGCAACAGAAGGGGGCAAGTGGTTCTTCCTGTGAAGAGCGTTCCAGAGATTTGGAGCCACTTTTGAGAAGGCCCTTTCCAAGGTTGTCACCCATCTGATCTCACAAGGCAGAGGCACCTGAAGCAGGGCCTTCGAAGATGACCATAGTGGTCAGGTAAGTTCATAAGGGAGTAGGTGGTCCTTCAGGTTTGTTGGTCCCAAACCATATAGGCTTTAGGGTTTTATAAGTCAGCACCTTGAATTGTACCTAGAGACAAATTGGAAGCCAATATAGCTGAGCCAAGACTGTAGTCTTATGGTCCCTATGACCCTCTACTGTCAACATCCTGGCTGCAACATTCTGCACCAACTGAAGTTTCAAACACATTTAAGGACAGCCCCGTGTAGAGGGCATTGCAGTAATCTAATCTAGATGCAATTACCAGAGTAGCTGACACTTCTTCCACTAGTTTTTAGAGTGACTTGTGTGTAGATTCTCTGGGGCAGAGAAAATGTCAAATATGTTTTTTCTGAACTGTTTCAGGTTTGCAACCAGGGACAGAAACGCTTTGCTTCTCTACAATGGGCGTTTTAATGAGAAGCATGATTTTATTGCACTAGAGATCATTGAAGAGCAGATCCAGCTGACGTTCTCTGCAGGTAAGCTGTTTCTGGTCTGTTTAGCCTTAACAGTAAATTTGTGATAGGCTCACTGTATTTTAAAAACTCATCTGTGACTAGTTAACACACTTACGCCATTTGAATAGATTTTGTACAGTCTAAAATCCATTTATTCAGATCTCTACCCTTATTATTGTTCGTGTTAATTATTTCTATTACTTCATGGCAGTAAATCTACTGGGTTTTTTACAGCAATCCATTAGAAGAAGAAGAGTTGGTTTTTATACCCCACTTTTCTCTACCCCAAGGAGTCTCAGAGTGGCTTACTATCATCTTCCCTTCCCCTCCCCACAACAGGCACCTTGTGAGGTAGGCTGGGGCTGAGAGAGTTCAGAGAGAACTGTGACTGGCCCAAGGTCACCCAACAGGCTTCATATGGAGGAGTGAGGAATCAAAGCTGGTTCTCCAGATTAGAGTCCACAGCTCTTAACCATTACACCATGCTGAATGCCTCCGAGGAATGTTTTTCTCTGCAAGGAAGGAATTTACACTTTTGAATCTGCTTGGAAATCTGCTTAGAAATCAATCATTTTTGTCTTTTTAATTGAGAGGGGGCTTCTGTATTTACCAGCTTTTTCATTATTGAGACTTCCTTCATATGATATCAAACTCTAATTATCACTCTGTTCAGCACAAGTGCTTTAATTCCAATATTAACTATTAATTTCTTACACCAAATTTCTGTCCATTCGCCAGTGTGGTGTAGTTCTCATATCAGTACAGGTACAAATCCCCACTCTGTCATGAAGGAGAGTGGCTTAGGGCCAGTAATGGTCTTTTAGTCTGACCATCCTCACAGGGTTGTTGTGAGGCTCATTTGCGAGAGGACGATGAACACTACTCTGAGCTTCTTGTAGGAGGAACAGTATAAATATTAAACAAATAAATATTATAATTTTATCCAAACACACATACATAATCAGTTGTCAAAGATCTGCTACACTGAAGTGTCCATTATTACAGTACTGAGGTTCAAATGTTCATTTTTACAAAGAATTGAATGCTGTCAGCTTTCTGTAGATGTCAAAGGGGGTCATTTATGTACTTAGAATGGAGCACACGGCCAGATATTTTTCAGGGACAGATCTTGTCTTATATTAACCAAGAACAATAAGTATCAGACCATAAACTCAGTCCTAGAAAACAGAAAATGCAAAAAATGAAGAAGAAAAGAGTAGGTCTGTTAATTTGAGACGTCAGTTGAATTAACATAGTAAATAAATGATCAGAAGAACAGAATTCCCAAACTGCCAGTAACACTAAATATCAGAGCAGTACTTGGCACACAAAGTACAAAGACCTGATAATCAATAAGTATCATGCTTCAGACCTTCAACAAACACTTTTATTCTTTAAATGTTTAGAGATGGAAGACATCATGGCAGACAGGGAGGGAATGAAGAGACTTGAGATAGGTTTGGATATTAAATGGGCCACAACTTCATTAAACACGATAGGATCTGCAATGGGCAGTAACTAACAATGCAACTAAAATATAGTGCAGGTAAAATTAGTGGGATGCTGAGGAATCCGCACAAGCATCCCTGAACAACTGGGTGAGTTCACCCCTGGCTTCAAGCCTCTAAACAGCCTTTTGGGCTGCTCAGATCTTTCCTTTTTAAGTGTGTGCATGAGGAGAACCTGCCAGATTAGCTACAATATTTTTGTGTCATGGATCATGGCAGTTCAGGGGGAGGGGGTGTCCCTGTCGAAGTCTCTGTAGCCACACTAGTCCCGAGATCCTTACTTGATGGCTGAAGCAAAGCCAACTGAAACCAAATCCATTGAAGACGGAGGTCCTGTGGCTAGGTTGAGGTGATGCAGGGGTGAGATGCCAACTTCCCCCTCTTGATGGAGTACCTCTTAACACCGGCACCAACCGTTAAGAGTTTAGGGGTGATCTTGGATGCCTCTCTGTCAATGGAGGCATAGGTCACCAATGTAACTAGACTGGCGTTTTCCCATCTGTGCCAGGCTACACAGTTTGCTCCCTACCTGTTGCACCAAGACCTAGCCACGTTGATCTATGCATCAGTCACCTCCAGTTTAGACTACTGTAACTTGCTCTATGCAGTACTACTCTTGAGGCTGACCTGGAAACTCCAGCTGGTCCAGACTGTAGCAGCACGGGGACACCAATGAGAGCACATACTCAACCTGTGCTTTGCCAGCTGCACTGGCTCCCAGTTGAATTCTGGATCAGTTTCAAGGTTATGGTATTGGCTTCAAAGCCCTAAACAGTCTGGGACCAACATATCTGAGGGACTGCCTCTCCTGGTATGTCCCCCAAAGGGCATTCTGTTCAGCTGGCAACAACTTACTGATGATCCCCGACCTGAAGGTCATCCAGCTATCCTGGTGGGACACTCTGTCCAATGAGACCCAGGCCCTGTGAGACTTGAAACAATTTTGCAGGGCCTGTAAGATGAAGCTGCTCCACCAGGTACATGGTCAGGGATGAGTGATGGCTTCCCACCTTGGACCATCTCCTGAACTGCCCTTTACTGTGCCATCTAGTGAATAATGAATACTAAGACTGTTGGGATTGCTGATTTTAATCTAAGTTATATTCAGTTGTTACATTGATTTTAAATGTTGTGGCCTGCCCTGAGCCCTACTGCATAGGAAAGGGCGGGCTAGAAATCCCATTTAATAAGAAATAACAATTAAAACCTCCCCTTCACCTTGAAATAGATGCCTCAGGATGGTCACCATGCTTAATGCTTTTACTTAAACTGTTTTCCCTGTACTTCAATCACCAGTGTGTCAAATGGATTTTACCAGTGCTATTCACCCAAGTAGACAGCCCTAGCAAGTCCCACACACACACAGCCTTCAGAGTGAAGTTAGTGAAAGGGGGGGGGGGACTCTGAATCCAATCAAATTAATAAATCTCTCCTTATATTTAATTCTGTTTTGGTCATGGACTCTCCTGAACATTCCACACGCTCCCAGTTCACTCCCTGATCTGTCACTCAGAAGCTGTCCCTATCCACTGGCTGCATTGTCTGAGTCTCGCCTCCAACATTCTAAACAGTTTGCTGTTCCTTTCCCCCGATAGCCAGTCGGAACACAGAGGTCATTTGCATATGTGGCCTTTGGCCTTTGCCTCTAACATTCTAAACAGTTTGTTGCTGCGAGTTATTGAATGTGTCCTGAGGTAAAATACATATCCCAATTTTCCCTTAAATGGTCACTGGAGTTGCAAAATACATATCCCAATCTTCCCTTAAATGGTCACTGGATTTGCCAGTCTCCCTGTGGGGCCTGGAGATCTCCCAGAAATCACTGTGTTCCGCTGTCACAGCACATCATTTCCCCTACAGAAAATTTCCCAGCTATTACAATGGCTGCTTTGGGCAGTGGGCTCTATGGCATTATACCCTGCTGAAGTCCCTCCGAACCCCAAACCCTGCCCTCCCCAGGCTCTACCCCTCAAACCTTCAGGTATTTCCCAACCCAGAGTTGGCAACCCTGTAACTGGCTATGGAACCACTTTCCAGACCCTTGGAACCCAGGAGACATGGCATAGGAGAAGGTGCTTTTCTACCTTAGCTTCCACTTCATAACCTCAAATCAACATAAATCAGGGGTGGAGGGAACCATACATGTTACCATGAGGTTGTCCTCCCATACTACCCACTTGGGGCAGCAAAATTACTTGAGGCAGTCCTGCCTTATAGCTAAAGCAGAAGGAAGTAAACATGGCTTGCCTCCCTCTATTTTCCCCTTCCCTCTGCCGCCCCACCAGCCACAGCCGGGCCACTCACCTGGAACTTCCTTCTAGAGCTCATCGTATTTCTTCCCACAATGGGCCTTACTCCTAGGAAACAAATAAAATAGAAAGTCCTACTTGGCCCCAGAGGACAACCAGCTTTCAGTCCACGGTACCAGACTGGGGTGTGAGGAGGTGCTGCATCTGGGGGAAATAGAAGAAGAAGAAGAGATTGGATTTATACCTCGTCCTTCACCACCCAAAGGAGTCTCAGAGCAGTTTACAAACTCCTTCCCCTTCCTCTCCCCACAACAGACACCCTGTGAGGTAGGTGGGGACGAGAGAGCTCTGACAGAAACTGCTCTTTTTCAAAAACAGCTGTGCCAGAACTATGGCTTGCCCAAGGTCATCCAGCAGGTGCAAGTGGAGGAGTGGGGAATCAAACCCGGTTCTCCCAGATTAGAGTCCGCGCACTTAACCACTACACCAAATAATGGAATTGAGGCCACAGCATCATTCTTAGTCACCTCCAGGCTCATTCCCATGGGCCCATTCAAAAGAGGCATATACAAGGACTCTTTCCTTTGTGGGCCATTTTGCAAAACCCACCCCCAGCCCCTTGCGGGAGATGGGTGGGAGCAACATTCTGTTGCTTTCTTAATACTTCACTTCCAAAGCTAGCATAATTAATTTATCTTTGTAGTCACATGATCTTTCAGTTTCTGTAGCTTCCAGTGCAGTAGTTGTCCAGGGTTTGTTAGTATATAAGTTGTAAAGCTTTTTAGGAAGTGTCTGATTCGAGAGGGAAAGTAATAGTGAAGTAAACCATTTATTTTTCCTGTTTTTGTAGTTTGGCCCTAAGGAAAGTGAGTAAAGGCTGCATTTCCCCCTTTAGTCAATAAATATTTGGCTGATTCAGTTTATTGCTTTTCAGATAGAGCAATGGTTTCCTGGTTGTATTTCAGGATACTCCAGGATTGTTTGGAAGCTTCTTAGGGATTCATCAGAGAAGTAAAGGCCGACAAGCTTCCCTGAGGCAATCCTGCCATGAGTAATCTTTGCTTGCAGTGCACAGCCTTGTGGGATACTAGGGTTTCCTGAGGCATGTTCTTTATGTGCAGTGGTGGTGAGGTCCAGCAGTCCTGGCTAATAATGCCCCACAAGAGCAGGACGTGCAGTTGAGAGATACAATATAATATATAAACTAATCCATAAAGACTACTGCAAAAGCAGCAGATACCTAAAGAATGTTATAATCACATTC